CAACCTTTAACTCCTGGCTCAAGCAGTCCTCCTGCCTCAGCCTCCCAAGAAACTGAGACTACAGGCATGGGCCACCACACCGAGCTAATTTTTCTTCTTTTTTTAGAGACAGGGTCTCCCTATGTTTTCCAGGCTGGTCTGCAACTCCTGGCCTCAAGTGATCCTCCTGCCTTAGCCTCCTAAGTTATTGAAGGGAACTTTGTTTTATATGTGTGTGCTGAACACTCAAGAGAGCCAGCACAGACCCTTGTTTAGTTGAGTTGTTGGGTAGTTTAAGTCAGTGCTTCTCAAACTATCTGTAATGAAGGACCAATTTTGAAGGGGAAAATATGTCATGGGGAGGTACTTTTGTAAAATCCATTGATATTGAGGCAGGGTCAAATTACTAAAAAGTTCTTTAAACTCATCTCAGTTTTTGTGCTATTTCATTGTGGATCAGTAACAGTTTGTGAACTGCCACCACACTGAGAAGCACTGGTTTAAGTCACAGAAAGACATATTGGCATTTGAAGATAATTCTGGGCTAGAACTAAGAAGTAACAATATGGGGACAGAGATATATTTGGTAAGAATAGGATACTAGATAGCAGCAAAAAAGTGGAAAGGCTCCCGAGCCCAGCCTTGCTTAGGCTTTTTGTCTCCTGGAAGCAAAGAAAGAGAAGGTTTACCAAGCAGATATCTCCACTGATCCGGCACAAAGCCCGGCAGGCCACTATCCGGTCCTGCCACTGACGACTGTTCAGCTCCACAGCAAGCATGGTGTGTATCAGGGTCTGAGGAGAGAAGACTTGTGTGAATATTCATGATCACTTTTAGAGATACTGGAAACCCTGAAGTTCATTCTAACATGGCATCCTGCACAATTAATGTCACAGCACATAAGATGCTCATCCCTAGCAAAGGAAAGAGTGGGTTTACAGAGATAGGGCACTCTTCCATTTAAGCCAACTGACTCTGGGATTGTAAATCAGGGAGCAAAATACAGATTTAATAATCTGAGCAGAAAACTCCTGGGACCTACCCTTCCTGACTTTAACTGTTTTTATACCCCTAAAATGATTTGTATGTGCCTCAATCTTTGTGAGTTTCACATTTCTATTGAAAGTAACTAAATACAATGGTAAGTCTGTGCAGTTTTTAATGGTAAACTTTTAACGGAAGCAAATTCTACATATCACAAATCTCGTGTATGTAGAGACCCTTTACAACCTACTTTCCTCACTTTTCTTTCAGCTAGCTGTTGTCACTTCCTTTTTTGTTTGTTTGTTTTATTATTTTTTTTTCTTTTTCCCCTAATACCCATGGCTTTGGAGTCACTTCCTATATATACCTGTATACCTGGGTTCACCCACACTTAGTTCACTTTTACCTATGCTGAGATCATCCTACCCAACCATCTGCATTTTGTATTCCTTGCATGCACAGACCTCAAAGACCCAATTGTTTCCCAAAACTTGGTTGTAATGTACACATACTGTCTTCCCACTGAGATGGCTCAGGAGCATACAAGCCCGGTCCTCAATGTCCTCGTTCTTCTTGTTAAACAGCTGATGGAGGATCCTCTTAATTACAGGGTAAGTGGCAGCACCTTCCAGAGCCAGGCACTGGGCTGCAGTCCAGCTATCCACACTGTTACCTGCCACAGTGGGGTGAAAAAAGAAGTTCAGAATGGTGATCTGTTTTCTCCAAGAGAGAACAGCCCTTGGATTGGTACCCAAGGCTGCTACCTGCCTGATATCTCACTTCCCTGTGCCCCACTCAGTCTAGAAATCCAATCCCTTATTTAAACGATACTCAAATGGATCATATCAAGGTTTTAAATATAAACCTCAACCTGAAAAGTTAAATCCTAAAGGCTCTTGTTAGGCAACAGCCGCAAGGCACTTCTGGCCTAGCTGAGGGATGCAGTTGTTTTCTTCCCTGGAGATTGGGAAGGCTGGGGTGGGAGGTTTTCTTAACACAGCAGAATTAAGATATTGAGTGTCTATATGCAGAAGGCCAAACCAGTTAGCCAGTTGTTTTCCTCATCAGGGCAAGTAACAACCCATCTTGGAGACAGCAGTTAGGCACCTTGGGCCTTTCACCTGATAGCCTTTTTTTTTTTTTTTTTTTT